CCTCTCGGCAACAAAGTTGCAAACGCGTTCTCGGTTTGCAACTTTGTTGTCTCGGAAATTTGCACATTGTTGCAAGACGCGCCGTTTTGCAACATTGTGCAATTTTCGGGAGCGACTCTCGGCAACAAAGTTGCAATCGCGATTACCTCCTTTGCAACTTTGTGTCGCGCGCGGGCTCCCGAAAAAGCACATTGTTGCAAACGCGTTCTGGGTTTGCAACTTTGTTGTCCCGAAAATTTCACGTTGTTGCACGACGCCCCGTTTTGCAACAATGTGCAATTTTCGGGAGCGATTCACGCAACAAAGTTGCAACTCTCCCAAATAATGATTTAGATGGTAGTTCATCATTGTTGGAAGTTTTAAATAGAACATTGCATGCTTTAACCTAATAAAATAGCTTAAATTGTTAATTTCGTATTGAATTAACAATTGCAGCGCGATTCTCTCTTTTGCAACTTTGTGAAACGCGTAATTTTTGAAACGTACGTATTTTCGTTTGTAACGCTGTACGGCATGCAAAACATTGTTGTATGCAATACTTTGTACGCATATCATTGCCACAAGCATTTACTTGAATACTTGTGTTTAAATGAAAAAGTTCTGAGTCATATTTTCAACTTATTCATCTCTATGGAAAATAAAGGGTGTCCCGTAACTCCTCGAACACCCGGAAATGGGGGGTTGCTGGGAATAACGGATAACGAATAAAAGTATCGAACAGAGTTATTAAACGAATTACTTGTTATTCATAAAAAAGAAAAAAAATACCTCTTGTAGATCAATGTCAATGATACACACGCTGAAAATTTCATCGAAATTGGTGGATGGAGAAACAAGCAACAGACATCGAAAGATGTAAGAATCTGCAGATTTATTACAGTTTTACGCCGAAAGTCGTGATAGTGCGATTTTCATAATCTTTAGCCGTTTGTAGTTCATAGAAACATTAACCGATTTCGATGAAATTTTCAGCGTGTGTATAGTTGACATAGATCTACAAAACGTATTTTTTAGATTTTCATTCCGAGCTCAGATAAAAAAGTTGTAAAAACGACCTTCGCTATTTTCTTCGCGATTCCGACTAATTGCAGTTTTTTCAAAAATTTATACAAACGTCGGAATGACGGCCAAAAACCATTTCTCTAAGCCTTTATAAAAACAGCAGTGCAAAGTCAAATTTTCTTGACAACGATCGAGAACCGAGAAGTCACGCGTACGCATTTGTTCGATCGCGCGCGGATGAGTCTCCGTTCTCCGCCCCTGAGCGCGGGCTCTACGCGCGCTGTAATTGGCCAGTGTTTTTCGTTGATAATTCAAAAACGAAGCTTCAAATTGTATTTTGGAAGAGGAAAAAGTTGTTCAGAGTCACCCCAGCAACCCCCCATTTCCGGGTGTTCGAGGAGTTACGGGACACCCTGTATAGTGGCTTCAAGAAGATTGTATTTTTATCTGAATGAAAAAAAGTATGTTTAGAATTTAGATAGAAGTACAAAATTACACAATTTAAATAATTGATAGCGTAAGGTAAGCAGAAATCGTGAATTAATTGTTTTTAAATCCTGGACGCTTTAAAAACGTTAATCGAAATTTCGAAACGAAACCTTAATCCAAGATACATATTTCTCATAAAGTTCTGCAGATTTTCCAGCAGACATCACCGCGATCGGTCATGAAAATCGTTTTTCCACAAATTAAGAAGAGCGAAACGCGCGTTAGGATAATCCTTGGAAATCTTCCTTTTTCGAATATATCGTTCACCGACTAAATTAAAATTTTCAATTTTCGTTCTCTAATACTTCGTCCTACCCATAACTTTCTACCTATACGACTGATCTTCCACGTTCATTTAACTCTGCAATATTTCTCCACCGAGGATTCTCGCTATTTATTTCGTCGATCTAACAAACAAGGCGCGCAACGATTCGACTCGGTTACAGAATTGAATCGATACCCCGTGCACGACGGGGCAAATTCTATCAAACAGCGATTCTCCCGATGAAAAATAAAACTGCAATAACCGTGAATCACCGAAGATATGTGACCTGTCGATCCCATTTCTCTGGATCACAGTAAAATTACACACACCACCTTGACAGACGTGTATTTATAGCTGGGACAGCCAGGTAGATTAATCAAAATCTTCGGCCAGTTTATCGAACCTCGTTAAATCCCATCTGTACCGTCTGCGTTCAGAAACGGGCAGACTCGCCGACTTTTGGCCGAGGGAAAGAAGAGAAGAAAAAAAAGGGAGAAAAACATCCGCCATTTTATCTCGATCGACGCCAGGTGACCCGTGATATCGATATCACGGCAATAACAACAGTAACAGGCGTGCAAACGATTTCGAGAGAGGATACACCCTCGAAACGAGGAACACGTACGGCAGAGCTGAGAACAGTGTGGCTGTTTTTTCGCGCGCGTCCACGCAGTCGAACGCGAAACGAAAAACGTCCAATTAAAAAAGCAATATTGCTCCTCTTCTCTCAATGTTCACCTGTCTTTTTTTCTCTCTGTATTTTGCTCGACTCGTTGCGAATATTGACCGGTATCGATCGGAGGAAGCTGTAAATCGTAACGTTTGTTTATATACACGTACATATGTCGGACAGATAATTGAGAATTAACGCTAGTTCGACGTCGACGTGTGTTAATAATTGTAACGTGTCAATATGTAAATGTGAAACGTGCCTGTACATTGCTTTCGTTTAATTTGAAAAAATAATTGGATACCTATTTCTACGATACGTCGAATGGGGGAGCGAGAATATGCGGCGAAAAAGTGGGTATATTTGTTTCGAAACATTATTTACAGCGGGGGAAATAATGAAAAATAGGAGATTTTTTTTTTAAACGAAGAAAATTGGCGACGATCGTGTATAACGGATCTCCGGTTACACGAGAACGAATGTAAACCACCGGGTTCATTAGTTGAAACTTTATTGAATTTTAAGTAGGAGAAGATACGGAGTCAGCGGATAGAATGGTAATGAGAGCACGATTTAGCACTCGGGAACTCTTTCGAAAAACTGCTTTGACTGTGGAATTTTATGAGGGGGAACCGAAGAAAGTAAATCTTTGTAGAGTTAGTCCTTTGAGGCTAGTACACTTATAAATTCCAGCATCGGTAACAAAAGCGGCAGGAATTCTCGAAATTGGATTTCGACGATCGGGAAACTCTTTAAATTTCCCATCGGAATACCGAAAAAGAACGACCTGTCGACAGTATTTACAAACATTTTGCCAAAGCAATTTCTTCGAACATTAGAGGGTCGACAGGTTGTCAGTTGCATGGATTGCCAAAGAAATACGCCGAATATTCGTGATACATTCGAAACTCAAACAACTCGTAGAATTACGAGGTTACAACGTTACGAAGAAAGCAACTCGTTTAAAGGATCGCGATAAAACGGTGGAGGGGAAAAGCAATTCACGCAAATATAACTCGATACTGATATGAAAACGGGGCCGCATGCATAATGAAACCGAGCCGTTTGTAAATGTTCTTCGTTAAGGGGGCGGCTTGCTTTCTCCTCCAATGATCCTCCAAGTTTCTACGATCTTTTTTGCTCCCTCGAAGATGAAAGGGACCTCGACGGGGTCCCTTCATCCTCGAGAAGAACGACTAATTGTACGATCGGTTCAGAATCATGCATTCAACGGCGCAGACTCAAATTACTCGCGTCTCGAGCGCGGTGATTTCAATAGGCGGTGAGGGTGGAAGGGTAATCGCGCGATTCCAGACGACAAGACTTTTCAATTTACACGTGTGCCGGGGATTATTTTCAGGAAATCCCACGTGAGTGGGTTTGAGGCGGGGAAGTGATTAACAACAGCGATCTTTATTTCCATTGCTTTGCACTGGTTTCTTGTCACTCTGTCTTTTTCACACTGCCTCATATGTATTTATCTTTTAGACTCTTTCGTTCTTTCAGTTCCACATTCTCTCTCTGTTACAATTTTCTTTTTTTTTTTATTCTGTAGAGTCATTTCTCGTAGACATTCAGTCGCGTTCATTTAAACCCTTGGGTGGCCACGCACCCTTAGTTTATACGATATTCTGATGTATCGTTGTGCCCGAAGCACTCTTCTTTGCACCTCTATCGCTCTTTCTCAAACTCTTTTTTTACGTCTCTATTGCTCTGATCCAAACACGCTTCTATCGCTCTGACCAAAGTACTCTTCTTTTGCACGTCTATCACTCTTTCTCAAACATTCTTCTTTTGCACCTCTATCGCTCTGTCTCAAAAGTCTCATCTTTCACAGCTCTCTCTCTCTCTCTCTCTCTGAGCCGAACACTCTTCTTTTGCACTTCTATTGATCCGACACAAACACTCTTCTCTTATACCTCTGTCGCTCTGACCAAAACACTCTTCTTTCGCACATCTATCGCTTTAACCCAAACATCCCTCGGTCACGCTTGCTACTCTAGCGTACTCTGATTCGCTACAAACATTCACACGAAACTTCCATTCCCACATGTGTTTACAGCGTATGCGGGATCCAACACTTCCAGAGAGCGGGGCACAGGCATCTGAATCTGTTTCAAAGCACATACTACGTTGTAGTCACGTTTTCTACGGTCGGTTACGGGGACTTTGTACCTGATATTTGGCCCTCGCAGCTTTACATGGTCATCATGATCTGCGTTGCTCTTATAGTTCTACCTACTCAGGTATGTATAATTCTTCGAACAATCTAATTTTGCTTATATCGTCGATTTTATTTAACTCACAAACAATGGGGATAAAATTGAGGGAAAAATGTGTATTTTACCGATTGAATTTTAGAACGAATTGGTTTGAAAAGAAAACATTTGGAGAGAATTGAAATGTGACGAGAAATAGTAATATCTGCTTTAATATTTGGAGCGAGCAAATAACAAAATACAGCATTTTTGAAACAAATTTAAAGAAAAATTGACGATGAGATATTTTGCAAACGCTGGTAATTTCCTGAAAATTAACGACCAACGGACTCATATTTTCTATACCGGAATAATCTGCAATTGCGCTGCGAAACAAACGGAGACAAAAATGTTGTCGCTTTATTCTCACGTTAATTTTACGTATATAATAAAAATATCCATTTTCTCGGCAAGTTTATTCACCGGAATATCATCGAAGCGATCATTTTTACGGTAGTTGACGCGATCTTCCACTGTACAGAGTTCTACAGAGGCAGAAAGTATTCGGCTATTATTTCCTGCTATTCACAGCCTAGGGAATATTTATTGCGCCGTGAATTACTGATCCCGTAAAACTTTATTTCCCTTTTAACGACGAATGTTACTGGAGAAATGACGCGCGCGTTTCCCGACAGTCGTAAAAGTGCCATCGATTCTGCCTTGATCATTGTCTTACGAAAATCTAAAGACCGATGACGTCGCGAGACTTTTATATGCAGGGAACTTAATGGCTGGGAAATAAAAGAGCTATATACCGCTGGTGGTTATGTTGATGAACGTGAATTTCTACACAAAGTTTAAAATCCCGTACAAATGTCACGAAAGTTCAATCTCTACCTAATAGAGGATCTCAGAAACAAATGAACAGTTCTTAAATCAAAAATTATACAACTTCTCTCTTCCGTCAGTTCAAATCAAATCTTTTCGTTTTCACGTTGATTATAATTTTGAAGAAATGCTGAAACAAATAAGTTGGACTATTTCTACAGCCCCAAAAAGCACATAGAGGCACTCTAACTTGGATTTCGAAGACAATTGTACAATTGTGAAATTTTTATTTTGCATTAATTAAAATAAAATCTTTTCGTTTTCACGTTGATTATAATTTTGAAGAAATGCTGAAACAAATAAGTTGAACTATTTCTACAGCCCCAAAAAGCACATAGAGGCACTCTAACTTGGATTTCGAAGACAATTGTACAATTGTGAAATTTTTATTTTGCATCAATTAAAATAAAATCTTTTCGTTTTCACGTTGACTATAATTTTGAAGAAATGCTGAAACAAATAAGTTGAACTATTTCTACAGCCCCAAAAAGCACATAGAGGCACTCTAACTTGGATTTCGAAGACAATTGTACAATTGTGAAATTTTTATTTTGCATCAATTAAAATAAAATCTTTTCGTTTTCACGTTGATTATAATTTTGAAGAAATGCTGAAACAAATAAGTTGAACTATTTCTACAGCCCCAAAAAGCACATAGAGGCACTCTAACTTGGATTTCAAAGACAATTGTACAATTGTGAAATTTTTATTTTGCATCAATTAAAGTAAAATCTTTTTGTTTTCATATCGGCTATAATTTTGAAAAAATGTTGAAACAAATGTATTAGACTATTTCTATAGCTCCACAAAGCACCTAAAGCTTAATGCTTAAAGAGTGAAAAACATTTTAAAACACCTGGAAAAATAAGAAATTGTTAGACGAGAGATTTTAGTTCTGCAAGTTTTACTTTTAATTTTAAAACGACAATTTGCAATGGAAAATATATTTAACCGACCTAGTGACACCTCTGACGCAAAATTAGCAATTACGTCACGTAACACAGTACACGCACTATTTCTGTAATAGTAAACATAACTGTAAATGAAAGACGTAAGTACTCATTCTCATAAATAAACGTTGTTCCTACGCTATGATTAAATCCGTTGACGTAAAAGCAAGTATCGTTGCACGCAAAGCTCGATTACTTGTCAAGAATTCATAAGATTCAGGCGTAGAACGCAGGGTTAACAATCTAATTAATGGACGTCAGTAACAAACGCATAATTAAATCCCTCGGAGGGCAGAATCTGACCTAAATACGTTATCCTACTTGTTGACCCAGGTCATTGACTAATGACAGAGGATGGTATCAAAGGCTAGATGTCAGTCGATGATGGAAATTTCGATGACAGCGATAACAGTGCGATTCATCTGTCAAATCTGTCGATGGCACGTGATGCTCGAATCCTCTGATTAAGAGAATCCTCGGATGTACTGTGTACAGTGGATTGAAATTCGTGAAATTTGATAGATTAATATTTCTCTCGCGCATTATTAAAATGTAGCAGTGAAAAGTATGTTTTTGAAAAAAACAGCGATCTGACTTCTGAGAAAAGGTGTTATTCATAAAAAAAACGGTGGCAAAATGTAGATAAACATTCTCTAAACACTTTCTAAAAATCCTGTGTGAGAAATTAAGGGAAAAGTATTTTTTATGTTGAAATAAAAACACTTATTCCTCGTGAACTATCTTCTTTTTCACTCAAAGGGTACTGTTGATGAAAAATGGTGGCAAAAGATGGAAGATATTCTCTCAACACTTTCCAAAAATTCTGCGTGAAAAATTCACTTTTTCAGACTTTTGTCATTTTCAGTGTAGAATAATTTCACTAAATTAAATCCAGGTCAATTTTTCTATATTTTCATGCTTAAAAATTTACGTAAATTTCATTTTTATTGTTACGTGCGCTGAAAGAGATACATCCTTTTCACTGCAGAATAATTTCACTGATTAACGTTTATAATTACGAAAATTTTGAAAATTTCTGTGAACATTAGTTTCATCGTATGAATTGAAAAAGATGTACAGGTCAATTTTTAAATTTGTTAGCACACAACTGATAGGGAGGTATAGCTCAAGAGATACCTAATTGGATAAAAAAAAAAAGGCCGAGCCATAAAATAACGCTGCAATAAACAAATGGCTGGCAAATAGCCAGCAAATGGTGACATCTTTTACTTTTCTGACAGTTCGAGCAGTTGGCTTTCACGTGGATGGAAAGGCAGAAGCTAGGTGGCTCGTATTCCTCGCACCGAGCGCAAAGTGAAAAACACGTGGTGGTCTGCAGTACGACACTGCAAGCCGACACCATCATGGATTTTCTAAATGAATTTTACGCTCACCCCCTGCTACAGGTGAGAAACTCGATCGTGCAATTACTCTTTGCCATCTCGATTCCCTTCTCTCGATGTTCCTTCATTCATTATTATTGCACTTTTATCAAAATTTCGAATACGATTTCAATAGCGTGTCAATTCATCCTCTTGCGATAATATGTTATCCTACTCGCCATTTTTTTTTTTGATTCTATTATAAAATGTAAAAGATTTCAAGTGGCTACATCGTCCGACGAAAATTTCATAAATTCTCAATTACGTTTAGGACTATTACGTGGTGCTATTGTCACCTATGGAACTGGATACCACGATGAGAATGATTTTACAAGTGCCCATTTGGGCGCAGAGGGTAATCTATATTCAGGGCTCGTGTTTGAAAGATAGCGATCTAACTAGAGCCAGAATGAACGAGGCAGAAGCTTGCTTCGTTCTTGCTGCTAGGAATTACGCCGACAAAACCGCTGCTGACGAGCACACAATACTTAGGTTAGTCTCGTTCCCAAGGAATAAAAATGGTACTAAAGGTGTCTTTGATATATCAAGCGTGAAAATGAATTCTTTCCGATTTTTTGGTACAATCGAAGTTTTATCAAAAAAAAAGAATAAAAACAGATCCGAATCGTCGGAATAATTTTCATTATTCTTGATGACCTTTTGACATTTTTCTAGCAGCTTGCAAGTATACTGTGGCGGGTACGTCGTTGCCAACAAACCCTTACCGAACCTTGTTCTATTCTTCTATTCAGATTTTAGTTTCCGCTCTTTCGTCTCTCCCCGGGTTAAGACTCGCCTTCGTCCTCGAGTAGCCTAAGAAGCGCACATGTGCCATCCAGGTTCGCACGAGGACGAACCACTTTCCACCATTTCCTCCACTTCTATCTTTATCTATCGCTACTCCTGTCTCCCTGTCCTAACGATATAAAAACCCAGTACGCCTACTCCTCCGGTCAGTTTTTCCTTTACCAACCATCGCGACGTACCCGCCGAACTGCTGCAGCCGGGACAATTAACGAATAACATTGTACGCCGACCATTACGCTTGGATCTTCATAAGTTGAGGCGAAAACGGTGCAACGGCGTTCCTCATCCACCTCAATACTATCGCGATAGAAACTCAATGGCCAGTTATGCGAATCAAGTCGGAAAGAATTCATTTCTACGCCTGATAAAATATGGAACAGTATCATTTTGGAAATTATCGTTAATAGGTCGTGGGCAGTGAAGGATTTTGCACCAAATGTTCCTCAGTACGTTCAAATTTTCCGTCCGGAGAACAAGCTTCACGTGAAATTCGCGGAGCATGTGGTATGCGAAGACGAATTCAAGTACGCCCTTTTGGCAAACAATTGCACGTGTCCCGGTGCTTCAACCTTGGTTACCCTTCTGTTGCACACTTCCAGAGGACAGTAAGTTGAACGTTGTATTTTTCCATAGAAAAAAAAAAGAAAATTGATGGAAGAAAATAAGAAGAATGGTTTGGTTTGGTGTTTCTTTTCAGAGAGGGACAACAGTCGCAGGAAGAATGGCACAGGCTATACGGAAAATGTTCCGGAAACGAGATTTATCACATTATCCTAGGCGATTCCCGGTTTTTCGGCGAGTACGAGGGCAAATCCTTTACTTACGCGTCCTTCCATAGTCATCGTAAATACGGGGTGGCATTGGTCGCGGTCAGACCGGCGGAACTTCCGGAGTTTTACGAGGATACCATCCTCCTGAATCCTGGTAACTTCATTATACTATATTTACGTCCCTTTTCGGACATTAGAACAATACCGTTCCTTCTTACTTTTGGCAAAATACTCCTGTTTTTACATTGAACCCTAATTTCAAATTTTATTCATTTGTACACAAGATTACATTATTTTCAAAAATCCCATGACCTACCAATTAAAGCCTCGATTGAAATTCGAATCTACCAAGGCAGTAATACATTAACCCTAGTAAAGCCTAAGCTATTGGAAGGTTGAAAAATTAAAATTATTAAAATTATCACAATTTACGTTCTGACACAAAAACAGATTATAGGCTGCGCAAGATTTTCCAACAAAAACAGAGCTAAAGTAAAAGGCTCCGTAGACGAGATCTAATTTAATTAAAAAAAAAATTGTCTGAATATTCATCCAAGAAATACAATTACCTTCCGACCCAAAAACAGATTACCACCTGCGCAACCTATTTTACAAAAAAGAAAAAAAAAATAACTGAAGTTCAAAACTTTCTGGTCATTTCTCTACCCTTCATCGAGGTTCCCGGTGTTAATAACAGAGTAGGATCTCCCGTGAGCTCCTCGTTAAACAGATCCCAGGTCAGTTCATTAAATTCCTAGACACACCTACCCCACGGATCCATAATCCACCGGGCAACCCAACAATTTCCTCGAATCCTGTCTAATTAACCCCATTTTACCGGAAGGTCCGCGTCACATAATGAAGAAGACGGACACCTGCTACTACATGAGCATCACGAAGGAGGAGAACTCGGCGTTCGTGGTGGCTAACAACCAGACCGGAAGCGGCGTGGAGGGCATGCAAGTGGTGGTCGAGACGAAGACAGACGGGACAGGGAATGCAAACAGCAGTTCGACCAGCAACACGACCACCAACAACACCACCACCACGATGAATTCGGGAACGGGTGCCGGTACCACGACGACAACCACCACGATCTCTACCAGCTGCACGATTGCCGGCGGTGATGGGAACGGTACAGCAAACAAGCCCGGTGCAAACGAGCACCATCGTTATTCCAACCGTTGTAACAATGCGCTGAACGAAACAGCTTGCTGCAGACAGGAGACGACCTGCACGGGGCCCCGTGGACAGACCGTACACGGTACACAGGCACACAGGGCCCCACAGGTTATTTTACAGGTCCTCCCTAGCACGCCCACACCACTCGAACACCACAACATACTCGCATCCGATGTCCACCGTGAGTGTCGCATGCGCTTGCCCTTATCTTCCTTTTTTATTCAATTTTCTCTTCTTACTAGTTTTTCACGCTATCGATTCCTCCTTCTTCTCTTATTTTCCTCCTTTTTTTCTGTCTCGATCTCTGTCTCTCTGTGTTTTTCTCTCTGTATGACTGCGCGATATTTTTGTGCTCTGATGTATCGTTTTTTTTTTTCGTTTTCTTTTTTTTCGCGTGCGTCCACGGAAGGGTTGATTTATGGAGAATTATTAGCGTGGATATTTTTTGAGGCGATCAATTGTACTCGTACCGGGGAAGTTGTTTTGTTTTTCTTCTTTGCTTTACGGTGGACGTTTTGGCCGGAGATAAATTGAATTAATTGTTCGCGTTCAATTTGAATGATTTGTATGACGCGGTGGTAATAAACGATGTCCCGCCGTAAGAGTGTATTGATCAAATTAGTGACGTGTAGGGGTGCGAGTACGAAGAGTTTAATCGGGGGTATTTTGGAGAAATTTTTTCGTAAATTCGTAGCGTGTATGTAGAGTGTTTTTGTAGATTGCTTTAATCGATGCTAATCATTGATTATCGTTTCTGTCGTGTTGTAGCTGAGTTGTAATTTTGCATGCAGTAAATTGAAATGCAATGTTTCAATGTTACATTGCTTTCTTTTTTGTGACTTGTGCTTTACAAGAAAAGTATTTTCATGCATTAATTCGTTAAGTCATACCGTAAATAGAAGTGTGAATTAGAAGCCTGGGCTTTAGCATGATTTTGTGATTTATGGCAGGAATTATTTTTTTTACCATTTGTAATTACCATAGTTGCATGTTATTGGAGAAAATACGCATGTTTAGCACTCTACGATAATGCGTTAACTCGAATTAAGTACACTGCGACAAATCTTGTGTAACCCATTTATTTCCAGGTTCGAAATTAGGGTAGGTATGAGAATTGAAAAGCAATCAACTCCTTAAAATTAAGTGAATTAGAAATGTAATTCGGTAAAGTTCTTTCACGTGTATATAATTTAAAAACCACCAATAAATGGATTAAACAAACCCACACGACACAAAGTAGCTTTGAAGATTACGAGAGGGAAGGACCTCGGGTTGCAATAATCACCGATCAAAGTAAAGAAGCTGCCATTGCTTTGCACTATATTATCGAATACGTAGAAAAGCATCGTAATTGAAAGTTACGATTTCTTAATATACTTTTCGGCACCGTTTGTATTCTACCGAAAATTGAACGAAAAGCCAAGAAAGAAGGATATTTTACAGAAACGTATTGTCGTCGATTAGTAAACAACAAACATAATGTATCAATTCTAACCAATGCAAAAAGTCTGAAATTCGTGGAATATCTGGGAGATATTTTTTTTCCTTTGAAAGATAGTTTCTTCCTCTCACATGGACATCGATATATCGAAACAGTCGACTCTTTGCATTCGTGTTAAACATCGAAAATCTAGCCTTGAGTTGTTTCTACCAAGTATTGTAGAATTGATGTTCCTTGCAGAATACTTTAAGAATGAAATATTTTTACTCTTCTCCCTTCGTCACTCACCATAAATTCTATCTCTTTTCCAACGTAGAACTTCCGTAGGATTTCTAAGTAACACGTGTAAATGGTTTTTTAGTAACAGATCCTTAATTTTGCAGCAACCTATCTAGATCCAGGAGGATTCGCAGATTCGCGTCAGTGCTTGAAAGATGGAGGATCCACGCCGCAGACGCCAATCACCGGAAACCACTTGGACGTTCCCAGATCCATCGAGCCAAATCCAAATCTGCTCAGCCCTGAAATTCTTACACAAAGAAGAGGTAAGTTGACGATTGAGATCACTATCGTTTGTCACACTCCGTGAATCATACGCAAATTCGTCTGCAAGAGTAATTCTGGTCAGGTGTCAGTAGTACAAGTCAACCATTAGAGCTACAAAACATATTTTATAAAGAAATCTATTCAGCAAGAATAATTCTGGTCAGGTGTCAGTAGTACAAGTCAACTATTAGAGCTGCAAAATATATTTTACAAAGAAATCTGTTCAGCAAGAATAATTCTGGTCAGATGTAAGTAGTATAGGTCAACCAATGCAGTTATAAGATATATTTCACAAAGAAATCTATTCAGCAAGAATAATTCTCGTCAGATGTAAGTAGTATAGGTCAACCAATAGAGTTATAAGATATATTTCACAAAGAAATCTATTCAGCAAGAATAATTCTGGTCGGGTGTAAGTAGTATAGGTCAATCATTAACTCTACAAGATATATTTCACAATGAAATCTATTCAAAAATCGTATGAAATTACTCGCCTTCGATTCCTTTCAAACTTTGCATATTTATAGATTGCAAGTAGTTGAGTACATCCATATGGGTTTTAAATAGACTTCTCTTCACAGCTAGAGAAAACATTGTTTAACTGTCCTTCCAGTAAAGTTTCAAAACACAATCGTACAATTAAGAATATAAAAAAATTAATTTTATAAAAATTGTCTGACAATTGAAATATATATATATATTTCTTTTCTAACATTACATTAACAAATTAAATTAAATTACATACGAATCGTTGAAATAAAGCCACAGTTATCATACAGTTCACTTCCAACGTAAAAATGTCTCGTAACCGATTTATTACAGGAAGCAGAAGGCCAAGTATCTTACCGGTGCCAGACATGCTGACGAGCTCAACGTTACATCTTCCCGGTCAAGAATCTTTAGACCACGAAGGCGACGAATCCGAGGACGAAATGGACGACGACGTCCCATGGAGATCGCCCAGCGAGAAGATAGCGTAAGTATGATCAGCTAGCTCACGGTCACCATTCATGTCATCCACTTTACGTCGAAGGTCGCAAGGATTGAAGGTACAAGGTCTCTCCCGCTGTATACGATATCCTTATGGATGCGTGGAAACGGATCATCGATGATATTAGATCGCTATAAATTTATAGACGTATTTATTAGATAGACGAGAAAGCTGATTTCTTCTCTTTGACCAATCTCTCTCTTTGATCTATGTACTGAAGCACGATCGTCGGATCCTTTACGAGTGAAACGATGTTGCACTGTCTCGTGCACTTGCATGGCACGGTCTCTTGTGCATCGGACGTATTTTGTGTAAACTATATTTCCTTTCTTCTCCTATTCTGAATATCGTAACAATATACCTTTCGATATTAGTTTTAAAAAGAAAATATTGGACGTTTGAAAATTATTTCCTTGCAATGGTTACTTCTTCAAATTTAACATCAAATCGTCACCTTAACCCTTTGACAGTCTAACAAAATTATGAATTTCGGTAAAAAAAATTATATTTTTATGTTATTAAAATTGTATTATTATCAATTTATATTTGTAAGATTATATTTGATAATTATGTCGTGTGTGATCATTTTTAATGCACAGGATACATAATCCTGTATCATAATTATGACAATAATATTTCGTCCTTTTCTAACTTTCTTTCTAAGAATCTCTCTTGAGCTTAATTCTTAGATTATCCAAGTTTCACATGAGATAAATTTTCAAAGGGTTAACACTACAAATAAGTATCTCAAAAGTTGACATTTTCTTAATAACTTTATCAGCTGTCACATTTTCTTGCAATCGCAATACGCTAAAAGTAGAGAACTCTAGCAAAATGCTTTGGAAATAGCAAAAGTACGTAATTTTCAAATAAACTCGTTACTTTACTAATGAATTTGAGACGTCTACTTGTTAGTATCAAGATGACGAAGTGTATATTGAATCCCTAATTCGAACGTCGCCAGTATTTTCACGAGAACACGTATCAAAGATGCCCTGTAACATCGTGCAGAGTACAGTTTTGCAATTTTCCCCAAAGCTCGATCAGATACACATAAATCAATTAAGTAAATGGAAATCTGCACGATCTTATCAGCCAGTGTCCGTTACAAGAAACAAAGTTCCACAGCCAATAGGAACTGTGCACAGTGCTCGTCCTCTATCTGCACTCTTCTCTTCTTAGATGTTACTTCCTGTGATTCTATTAGACGTGACTTAAATATATCCCACTACACCCTTTCCTGTCTAATTTCACCGAATTTTAACACTTCGACTACTGCTTCGAATAACACAATTATTTTGTGAACGAAAATTATTCCACTTCTTCGAGGATCTTATGTCGTCGAAGTGTTAAAACTCGTAAAATCTGTTTCCCATCGGATGCCGTCACATGTAACATTTCGACGATAATTTTGCGGTTGAACAGTTGAAAAGAAAAAAAAGTAAAGCCTCCGTTTGACGTGGAAACGTTGTGATATTCGAAGTGAAATTTTGCTCGAGCCTGTAAAAAGAAAAGCGTCCACGAGATTTCCATCTCGGAACGAGTAACGTCGAGCGATTTGAAAAGTTCGAGTGTCACGGTGACAAGAGACAGACAGGACGAGAAAAAAAGGTAACAAAAAAAAAAAAAGAAAAAAAAGAAGGTTTCGAGCTGGCCAAAAAGGTCGATGTCACGCCAGTTCCGTCATTCACCGACACCTGAAACACAATTAAACACAAGTTTACGTTGATGGTCGGTCTGTCCTGTCTCTCGATGCCTGTGTGCCACACTAATCGACCGTCGACGGTATTGAATCGCTGCTCGATGCTGTCCTGCCTGACACCCTGTATGTCCTCATGGATGTTTTCGATGTCTTCCTTCCTGCATCGTCTTTATGCACTGCCGTCTTCACGCACGACTTTTGCCCAGCAGTTTCAAAGGGTGAGTCTCCACGTTTTTACGCTTTCGTATAAACTGTCCTTCCTATGTCTATCGCCTTGTGTTGTCACGGGGGAACGTTTCGAATGACGATATCGAAGTCGTTGGGAAATCGCGATATCCTTGACTTTGTCTTTCTGGTGTAAGATTCCTAGAGTAAAGAGATTTCTATAAGAAATCTCCTTGGAATGAAATTTGAAATTGGCTGTTTTTTAGCGATTCGTTATGTTTTAACGTTAGAATTTGTCAGTTTGTTGTGTTTTAGGAATTAACAGTTTGCAATGGTTTGTTTTGAGAAATTAGAAATTTGCAATGGTTTGCTTAGGAAAATTAGAAATTTGCAGGTTTCTTTGAAAGGTTAAAAATGTGCAATGATTTGCTTTGGGAAATTACAAATTTGCAATGGTATGCTTTGGAAAATTAAAAATTTGCAATGGTTTGCTTAGGAAAATTAGAAATTTGCAGTTTTCTTTGAAAGGTTAAAAATGTGCAATGATTTGCTTTGGATAATTACAAATTTGCAATGGTATGCTTTGGAAAATTAAAAATTTGCAATGGTTTGCTTAGGAAAATTAGAAATTTGCAGTTTTCTTTGAAAGGTTAAAAATCTGCAATGATTTGCTTTGGAAAATAGAAAATTTGCACTGGTATGCTTTGGAAAATTAAAAGTTTGCAATGGTGTACTTTGAAAAGTTAGAAATTTGCAATCGTATGCTTTGAAAAATTTTAAATTTACAGTCATTTGTTTTGAAAAATTAGAAATTTGCAAACGTTCGCATGGAAAATTGAAAAATTTGCAAACGTTCACTTCGGAAAATAAAAAATTTAGTTTTCTTAAAAAAATTAAAAATTCGCATTCGTTTGTTTTGAAAAATTAGAAATTTGCAAACGTTCGCATGGAGAATTGAAAAATTTGCAACCGTTCGCCTTGGAAAATTAAAAGTTTGCAAGCGTTCGCTTTGAAAAGTTAAAAATTCCCAATCGTTTGCATTAGAAAATAAACAATATGCAATCGTTCGCCTCGAAAAATTAAAAATCTGCAGTAATTTGCTTCCAAACCTTAAAACTAAAATTCTCCAATTTATTCTCTTCTATTCCGATTAATTTTCCCCCCAACGATCGCCTACAATACACTGGAAAAGGCATTACTATTAACTCTACCAGCCTAAAACCCATCGAACACTTTGAAAAAGATTCAGGGATCACCGATAAACACTCTACGTAAGATTGATTAGCGAGAAGGTTTCCAGCAGCGTGCACATTTCAGTGGGAAGTTGTGCCGCGCGCGCGAGATCGCGAGAAGTGCCGCGGAAGAAACGCGGCGGAGAAAGTTGATAAAGAGGGTCGCGTAGATACGCAGCATCGGAATTTGTTAACTGATTGAAGCAGAATTTAATCGTCTACACTCTGTACGCTGAAGTTCGCTGTTTAATTTCGCTCGTTGAACCGCCTCGCAGCGGAATGAACTTTCAAATTGAAGTTGAGTATTCTGATGCGAAACGTGCGGCGATGTGAAGTGAATGAAGTTACGAAAATGTTAGACGTGGCCGAACTGAACTTTCCAACATGCTGGATTGATCAGTGCGAATGGGATTTTCCAGTAAGCAGGAAATTTCCTTTGACAAAAAAAAAAATCTATTTCTTCTCGCTACTTTTCACAACTGCTTCCTTCAGAAATCGTAAACACTTTCTAATACGAATTATCTGTCTCGTAACTTCGTCTATTTTTTTAATTTAACAACCAAGTGTCATACGCGTGACAAATTTTAATTATCTTCGTGTGATCGGTAAAATATCACTGTTAAATCTCACTGTTTTTTCAAATTTAAACACACTTTACATATTCGCACTTTTTCACGTTGAATTCACGCTTTCGTTATTTCACACGAGCAATGTTTACATTTTACCCATTTTTCTAAATCTAATAATTTCCCAGATATTCCATAATATATGAAAAAAATTACAATTGTTTTCTTTTTAAATTACGCCATTTATAAGTTTCACAAAAATCAACGATTCACATTTGAGAACTTATACTCCTACATTGAGAATTTATATTCCTTGTAAAAGAGAAAAAGTTTGCAACGAAATTAAACACATTTTATGTATTCACACTTTTTCACGTTGAACTCACGCTTCAATTATGCCACACGAATATTATAATACCAATAACCAATTTTTACATTTTATCCATTTCTCTAAATCTAATAATTTCCCAGATATTCCACCAAACATACAAAAAAATAAGAAATTTTTTCGTTTTAAATTACGCCATTTAGAAGTTTCATAAAAATCAAGGATTTACATTTGAGAACTATTCCTTGTAAAATAGAACATAACAAAATTAAGTAAAAATTGAAAAATATGTTGCTCCATATTTTTAGTCAATTTTACTCCAAGCAAATCGTACTTTTAGGTATTACACATTTGTGATCGTCGAGGCATTATTCTATAAAACCAGCACGATCCGTTTACCTGCTCTAGAAATTTCTTTTTCCCCCCGGATAACGTCGTGGACGTATTAATTTATGTGTATATCTTACATTCGAATCTTATGGCGCGCTATAACGTTATCGGTGCACCGACGTTCCCGAAGCAATGAACTGTATACATTTCAGTGTTCCGTACACCGTTGGATATATGCAAATGCATTTGTTCGAAGCTGAAAAATTGATCGCACGATAGTTGAACAGTTCGAACTCTGCTATTTCTGTCTTTCTTCCGCTGACTTTAATCTATCATATTTACAGTGTACCGGTAAAAAATACAGGAAAAAACTATTCTGTTATATTCCTTTTTCGATATTTCATCTGTAAATAGATGGAAATTATTTTTTAAAGAAATAGCAGAATTCTGGAGAAATGTGTTGTATGGAAATCTCGTTTTTGCATCGTGCATGTACATACGTAGTATAGAGGAACGTTTTCTTTTCATTTAATTTAACGGTTAAATTGGAAAGGGGGAATTAGAAAAGAAAAATAAGAGTTAAATAATTGAAGAAACAGATTGTACATATAATTCGTTTGAAAATTTACATATTAACGTTGCTGCATTATCGAGGAATTTTTTCTCGTGTTTCATATCGTTCGTATTTTTACCAATTCCTCGCACTTGCACACGCTTCACACTTCCTACACCTCTGAACAGTATAATAATACCACATTTTGTCGCTACATCAATGGGTATGATCAGCACGGTACAATTTACGATCGAACAATACGAGACCCATGAATCGTGGTGAAATACACTTCCCCTATTTCAGTGTAAGAAAATATACGGGTATCGAAAACTTGTGAGATAATACAGAGAAACACCGTGGATTTCTTTCGATACTGATTAATTTTCACGTGGAATGGAATACAGTAGTCCATATAGTCCTGGAAATATAATACGAGATAAGTTCCATTGACGTCGATTTTTGGGTCGAATTTAATTCACCAAAAATTGCAAAATTACAAATTCAGAATTTGAGTGTTTCTTTTCTTTTTTTTTTATCGCGGTATATGGGGACAGTAGGAATTTTTTGATCGCGTTTTGGTGCCTACTTTCGCTCTAAAATGAAGCTGTGTATTTTTATAACATGCAAACACTGTAAATTTCTTTCGATACTGATTAATTTTCACGTGGAATGGAATACAGTAGTCCATATAGTCCTGGAAATATAATACGAGATAAGTTCCATTGACGTCGATTTTTGGGTCGAATTTAATTCACCAAAAATTGCAAAATTACAAATTCAGAATTTGAGTGTTTCTTTTCTTTTTTTGATCGCGGTATATGGGGACAGTGGGAATTTTTTGATCGCGTTTTGGTGCCTACTTTCGCTCTAAAATGAAGCTGTGTATTTTTATAACACGCAAACACTGTAGATTTCTTTCGATACTGATTAATTTTCACGTGGAATGAAATAATAGCAAAATGAAGCTTTGTATTTTTGTAACACAGAAACACTATAGATTTATTTCGAATAATTTGAAAAATGAAAATCTGCATTTTCGAAGATTTTCTATTTTACGACGTTTCTTTTATATTGTTTATTTTATAATACATATTTAATTCAGAGCTTCTCATGTTTTAATGGAGGTCTAAAAGATGTCGATGCTGTTTTATGAATTATGCAAGAATTCAATCCAGTATCGACGTTGTTATAGGATCGTCAAGGGATTTCCACCTGTTTCACCCTTCATAGGCGTATCGCCGACGTTATGCTATCTACTAAAAGAAAAGAAACCACTGTGCTGTCTTCAGCTAGCACAGGTTTGTATTTCTCACATTTCAAACACGAACATTTATCTGAAATAATTCAATTCTAATTGTTAATACTTTTTCACCGTTAGGTTTGTCAACATTGTAGCTACAAGAACGCCAAGGAGTACAATTGGCAGAACAAGACCATAATCTTGGCGGCTGATTACGCCAGCAATGGGATCTATAATTTTATTATTCCTTTGAGAGCTCATTTTAGGTACATTAACATTGTTTCCTTTCAATTCTTCATTTTGACACTGTATTTCAAATAAAAATTGGAAATTTTTAAAATTGTTGTCTTTGGAAACAAATTTCGAGCCATGTATAATTTCAAAGTGAATAACGAAGTGAAAATTGCATAGTACTTTTGTAATTCTTTTGAGAGCTCATTTTAGGTACATTAAAAAAAATATCACTTCTTTCATTTCTTCTCAATTCTTT